CACATCCCGTTGTTAATTTTAGCGATTAAAAAAAATATATTTTTATACTATTTTTAATTGCAGTCATTTAAGGGTTTTTAAACTTATTTCTGAGATATGTCATATAAAATGTAAAAAGCTCGCAAACATGCATTCTTTCGTTCAGCTTCCCTTTCAAATAATGACAAAGAAAACCTCCTTAAGACAACATAATGACATATTTGTTCCAAAACATATGAATAAATAAACTGCAACAAGTGATTACCTCACATTTATTCTTTATGGATGAAGAGCAAACACTACAGGGAAAGCAGGTCTAATCCTGGGTCGTTGTTTTTTTGGTGCGTAAGATTTAGATATTCAGGCTATTCAGGAAGGGCAAATAAAGCTTGAGTTGTGCAGCATGATTAGACAAAGACTTGTCAGTTTAATGTCTCAAGAAAAAGACACACGGTAAACATGATATCTTGTCACTGCAAACAGAGGATTGTAGAGTGGAAACTAGGGTCTAAGAATATTATACAACAATGCAAATGTCGAGGTGCTTGCCAACTTTGAAAGGCTTATAGGTAGTAGTTTTAATTTCACAGAACTGAAGGAGCAACAAAAGGCTTTACTGTGCTACAAACAAAGCTTTTGTCAGATTATTGTCTAAAACCTACAGGAATGTGCAGCTCAGTTTGTTTGAAAGAAACTTAGACTTGATCTCATTGATTAATTTAGCTTTAAAACTCCTCCCCCTCTTCCTCTCCGTCATCGCCGATGCTGTCAGTTCCCACCTCCTCATAATCCTTCTCCAGGGCAGCCATGTCCTCTCTGGCCTCTGAGAACTCTCCCTCCTCCATTCCCTCTCCCACATACCAGTGGACGAAGGCCCTCTTGGCGTACATCAGATCGAACTTGTGGTCAAGTCGAGCCCAGGCCTCTGCGATGGCAGTGGTGTTGCTCAGCATGCACACGGCTCTCTGCACTTTGGCCAGGTCTCCTCCAGGAACCACGGTGGGGGGCTGGTAGTTGATGCCCACCTTGAAACCTGTAGGACACCAGTCCACAAACTGAATGGTGCGTTTCGTCTTGATGGTGGCAATGGCGGCATTCACATCTTTGGGTACCACATCACCACGGTACAGGAGGCAGCAGGCCATGTACTTCCCATGGCGAGGGTCACACTTCACCATCTGATTGGCCGGCTCGAAGCAGGCATTGGTGATCTCAGCTACAGAGAGCTGCTCGTGATAGGCCTTCTCTGCTGAGATAACAGGGGCATAGGTGGCTAGAGGGAAGTGGATGCGAGGGTAGGGCACCAGGTTGGTCTGGAACTCTGTCAGGTCCACGTTCAAGGCTCCATCGAAGCGAAGGGAGGCGGTGATGGAGGAGACGATCTGACCAATCAGCCTGTTGAGGTTGGTGTAGGTGGGACGCTCGATGTCCAGGTTCCTGCGGCAGATGTCATAGATGGCCTCATTGTCCACCATGAAGGCACAGTCAGAGTGCTCCAGGGTGGTGTGGGTGGTCAGGATGGAGTTGTAGGGCTCCACCACAGCTGTGGACACTTGAGGAGCTGGATAGATGGCGAATTCTAGCTTTGACTTCTTGCCGTAGTCAACAGAGAGACGCTCCATGAGCAGAGAGGTGAAACCCGAGCCAGTTCCTCCTCCAAAGGAGTGGAAGATGAGGAAACCCTGCAGCCCTGTGCACTGGTCAGCCTGGTGGTAGAAAATAAATCTTTTTATTGTTACTAGTTACACTGGAAATTTTAACTCATGACATTACAAGTGATAAACTCACCAGTTTACGAATTCTGTCAAGAACCAGGTCAATGATCTCTTTCCCGATGGTGTAGTGACCTCGGGCGTAGTTGTTGGCTGCATCTTCCTTTCCAGTGATGAGCTGCTCAGGGTGGAAGAGCTGGCGGTAGGTTCCTGTACGGACTTCGTCTGTATTTGGAAGACATTGAGAGTATACTCAAAGATTAGGAATGGTGGTTTGGTTTGACACTTAATTTATCACTCTCTAGTTATTCCTGCATTCTTACCAATGACAGTTGGTTCCAGGTCCACAAAGACAGCCCTGGGAACATGTTTTCCAGCTCCCGTTTCACTGAAGAAGGTGTTGAAGGAGTCATCTCCTCCTCCAATGGTCTTGTCACTGGGCATCTGACCATCCGGCTGGATGCCGTGCTCCAGGCAGTACAGCTCCCAGCATGCATTGCCTATCTGGGCACCGGCTTGGCCAACATGGACAGAGATACACTCACGCTGCAAGAACAAGTGGTTCAAATGTCAAACAAAGATCTGAAGTAAAAGCTACATTTTAATGTCTTTGTCACAGATTTTCTTTCCAGCTTTAATACACTAATCAGAGGAGATTATTCAACAGAAAACAACCCCAATGGCAGACAGAAATTCTGTTGTATTTTGTAGCATCAAAAGGGGACTTTTTATTGGTAACTTAAAGAACACAAAGGTCTGTACTACAATGGCAGGAAAAACATCTCAAATGAACTGACAAAGGCATATGCATATTATAGATGTACAAATTTATCACTACTTATTGTTATTTATTTATGTTTTCATCTTTTTTTGTTTTCAATTCACTTTATTTGCAGTTAGTCTTTAGAATGGCCTGCTCATTTCAGTTTAGTCTTTATTGTTTTTAAATTTTTTGTTTCAGTGTTTTAGTTTTTTCACAAATTAACTGGGGCATTTATTGTAGTGGGGGTTTAAGAAGTTTAGAAAGCGTATTAAAATAAACCACTCTCATACCATCATGAATACTGTCATGTAGACATGCCAGTTTCAGTGCTTGATATGTTGACACATTTGACCAAATTTGAAACTAAAGAAGAAAACTAAAGACATTTCCTATACATTTGGATTTAATTTTAGTTACTTGGTTAATAAAAAAATATCATTTGAATCAGTTTTGGTTTCAGAATAGTTTTTTTTTTTTAAACTTATTTTTATTGGCTAAAAGGAAGAGGTGAATTTAATCAGACATTTAAGAAAGATCAGAAAAGAACAAAGAAAGGAATGGGAAACAAAGAAAACCACACCAGAATATAACCTTCAAAATAAAACAGGAAGTAAACTGAAAGGGGGTCCAAACTTAGTAAGATGCAGAAAAATACAGGAGGCATTTGGAAAGAATAAATACTCCAAGAAAGAGATAAACTAATAAATAAATAAATAAAAAATCACACTCCATTTTATACACCCAATGTCCCTGTGAGAGGTTTTTTTCTCTCAGAAATCATCCGAAGCTGTTCAACAGAGGAACTTAAACAGAAAATGAAAGGCTTCTCACCATATTTTTGGAGCTTTGAGGAGTCCCTTGTTCACTTGAGAGGAGTGGCTGGGGATATTGTGTGTGAAATGCGAGTGCAGTAAGCTGCTTTATAGCCAAGCATCACCAAGCAACAGCCTGCAATGTTGTGGTAACTGGAGGAGCTGAAGAAGCAAACACCAGCTCCTTCAATAACAAATGAGGGTGCAGAACACAAAAAAGAAAACCCACTGTACAAACAGAAGGTACTAAAGCTGTTGTTATACACACAAGTAACCAACAGTGAAATATTTGGCCCATAACTGTGTCACCTCACCTAATTTTTCATGTTAGATTTAAGGTAAATCTGCTGTTCTGTCTGTGCAGTCAGTACCTTGTGGTTCAGATCTGAATGAAAAATTTAAATATGATGGAAACATTTATCTGTGGATGGCTCTAACTCATAACTCTTTAATTTAAAAAAAAGTTTCTGTGTCAAGCATTACTTCTTTAATGAAATACTGCTCAAATTAGAAGTTTGGTCATGTTGAAGTGACACATTGGCAGCCTGGGTTTTCTAATCTTGCAAATGAATGATAACGGATACCTCCCCAGAGTGAATGAATAGGCTTTTGTTACAGCTCACCGTTGCATCACCACTTTAGTCAAGATTCATTTGCAATGCAAAGGCAGCGTATTCCCCAAGGAAAACATTGCAACATGCTTTCCTCAAAGCCAGCTGACATTTGAGATCACCGTTTCTTTTCCAGTAGGTCTCAGTTCAGAGCTTTCAGCTATGTACACAGGAGAAAGAAAAGGGGAGTATGGTGGTACTATTGAGAAAACCGGATAAATGCAATACCTGAGGCTGGAGATTAACAAAGGATTATGTTTTCCTAAGGAATTTTCCTCAAAAGATTAATTTCTTAAAAACCACCAGGTCACCAGTAACCTGTTTGTGGTAGAGGTAGTTTCTTTTACCCAGATAGAAATCATTTGCCAGTAGGCCAGAATATGTAAGATCTAAAAAGTAATATCTTTTAGTTTCTGAAACTAGAATGTCTTCCTCCCATCACCCACAGCTTGTTCTGAAGGAACAATCTAAAGTATCATCAGGCGATTGTGATTTGGTGCTATATAAATAAGATTGAATTAAATAAAACTATACAGTGTAACCCTACACCTAAGAGGGTTGTTGGTGAACTGGAGGAAGTTAACAGGTTAGGTTTAACAAGAACTTCCCCAGTTTCTAAATGGACATATTATATTGACTAAAGTGCTTTAGGAAGTTTATAACCCAAAATGAATTTCAGAACCAATCCTCTAAAGTACAGATTTACTGTCTACTGATGCCTTTTCAGAAACCTGTTTTCCTTAGAAGATGTTTTTGTGTAAACCTTGTGTGCTATTACCCGTGTAATCTATTGTTGGGAACTGTTAAATCTTTCACCCGTGCATCTGCTGGTAACCCTAGAGCTGTAACCACAAACTACCACCTAAGGTTTCCAAGAACATGCTCACACTTGGTTTCCCTAGTTACTGTTCTCTCAGGCCTTGTTTGCTTTCAGGTGTCAGCTGACAACAACAGACAAGTCATTATAGTTCAACAGCAAACATGCACATTGCTGGAGGAGACACATATAGTGGGAGAAACTGAAATGCACAGACAGACAAATGCTTTGCACTCTTGGTTTATTTTTGCACACACATGCACACACATATATATAAAAAACCAATATGGCATTGCTCACTGCTGAAATACAATAATGATATCATTATGCAAAACTAAAACGTATTACTCCTCCCCCTCTCCCTCATCACCGATGCTGTCGGTTCCCACCTCCTCATAATCCTTCTCCAGGGCAGCCATGTCCTCTCTGGCCTCTGAGAACTCTCCTTCCTCCATTCCCTCTCCCACATACCAGTGGACGAAGGCCCTCTTGGCGTACATCAGATCGAACTTGTGGTCGAGTCGAGCCCAGGCCTCTGCGATGGCAGTGGTGTTGCTCAGCATGCACACTGCTCTCTGCACCTTGGCCAGGTCTCCTCCAGGAACCACGGTGGGGGGCTGGTAGTTGATGCCCACCTTGAAACCTGTAGGACACCAGTCCACAAACTGAATGGTGCATTTCGTCTTGATGGTGGCAATGGCGGCGTTCACTTCTTTAGGAACCACGTCACCACGGTACAGAAGGCAGCAGGCCATGTACTTTCCATGGCGAGGGTCACACTTCACCATCTGATTGGCCGGCTCGAAGCAGGCATTGGTGATCTCAGCTACAGAGAGCTGCTCGTGATAGGCCTTCTCTGCTGAGATAACAGGGGCATAGGTGGCTAGAGGGAAGTGGATGCGAGGGTAGGGCACCAGGTTGGTCTGGAACTCTGTCAGGTCCACATTCAAGGCTCCATCAAAGCGAAGGGAGGCGGTGATGGAGGAGACGATCTGACCAATCAGCCTGTTGAGGTTGGTGTAGGTGGGACGCTCGATGTCCAGGTTCCTGCGGCAGATGTCATAGATGGCCTCATTGTCCACCATGAAGGCACAGTCAGAGTGCTCCAGGGTGGTGTGGGTGGTCAGGATGGAGTTGTAGGGCTCCACCACAGCTGTGGACACTTGAGGAGCTGGGTAAACTGCGAACTCCAACTTTGACTTCTTGCCGTAGTCAACGGAGAGACGCTCCATGAGCAGAGAGGTGAAACCGGAGCCGGTTCCTCCTCCAAAGGAGTGGAAGATGAGGAAACCCTGCAGCCCTGTGCACTGGTCAGCCTGCAGGGGAACAAAACAGCACTATTTTCTCCATACATAACTACACTCTAAACTAATACATGTAGATAAACTCACCAGTTTACGAATTCTGTCAAGAACCAGGTCAATGATCTCTTTGCCGATGGTGTAGTGACCTCGGGCGTAGTTGTTGGCTGCATCTTCTTTTCCAGTGATAAGCTGCTCGGGGTGGAAGAGCTGCCGGTAGGTTCCTGTACGGACTTCATCTATATTCACGAAAAATAACTGTATATGAGTATATGAGAAAACTTTTCAAAATCCTTTACGTATAAATATATTTAAATTTATATTAAAAAATTGAAATTTTACCAATGACAGTTGGTTCCAGGTCCACAAAGACAGCCCTGGGAACATGTTTTCCAGCCCCGGTTTCACTGAAGAAGGTGTTGAAGGAGTCGTCTCCTCCCCCGATTGTCTTGTCACTGGGCGTCTGACCATCCGGCTGGATGCCGTGCTCCAGGCAGTACAGCTCCCAGCATGCGTTTCCCATCTGGACGCCTGCCTGGCCAACATGAACAGAGAGGCACTCCCGCTGCAAGACCAGGCCACATCAACATTAGAAAAGGCTTTGTGGAATCTAATAGGCAACACTATCACACCTTTAAAAGTGGACATTACAGAGTCTGTAAGACACTGCAGAAACTTACCATGGTTCTAAATTCCTGCTGCTGACTGCGAGGATCTGCAGGCAAAATCTGCTCTCTCTCAAGATCTCTCTGGTACTTATAGTATCTCCAAACTCTATAGTAACGGGTCTTGTTGTTCACAAATGGGGGTTAACTGAGTTTACCAGAGGGCAAAATCATTGTCCCGACACGCTCGGTCACACATCCATGACCATTTTTCCTGTGGAAAGATAATGTATAACCCTGAGCCCATACATCAGGCACACAAAACTCATTTAACTCACAAGCACCTAAGGAAAAAGCACAGAGTGGTTAATAAACTCAAAGCTCTGAGGGGGGCTCAAAGCTCCATGTGAGAGAGTCAAAGGAATTCTACATTCCCCAAATATTTGTAAACAGAATATTTTTAACAGCCCCCCTCACAGCCTGTTTGTACGTTGCCCAGATGTAAGTTACATTTGTGGGCACTTCAGCAAGTTGAGCTTATAGGATCAATGTTATTTACTGAAACTGATAAGAAGAGAAACTATAAAGTCTGTTCTTTAATGTAAGCAACGTAAGTAATTTTAACAAGAAATTTAACAACTCATGGGCTTCAGTGATAATGTATAAAATAGCTTTTTATAAGCTTTATCCAGTTACATATGTGAAATGTAGCCTAATTAGTTTTAGGATTTGACTTTGGCTATTTCATTTAAGCCCTTTTTTCTGACTACATTTAAATGTTTGCATATTTGCATTTTGTTATGAAGTACCATAAGACCACAAAGAGCCAGGGACTAAATTAGAAAACCACAGAAAAGGGAACATAAACAGTCAGGGAGACAAGCCTACAGTGTATACCCACTGGCCACTTTATTAGGTACTACTAGAACCAGGTGGGAGCCCATTTTGCCTTTAGAACTACCTTAATTTTCATTGCATAGATTCAACAAGGTGCTGGAAACATTCCTCAGAGATTATCCATATTAACATGACAGTGTCCCACACAGTTCAGGTTACACACATGCATCACAGCATGTAACCCCAGTGGCCTAATGGATAAGGCACTGGCCTCCTAAGCCAGGATTGTGGGTTTGAGTCTCATATGTGGGGATTTCCAGCTGTTGAAGTGGGCCCTCAACCCAGAGCGCAATGAATTGCAGCCATCCTCATTTGGCCCGTGGTCTTTACACTGGTTAACTGTGTTGCTACAATTCCATAATGGGAATCTCCCCTGTTACCATAACCCAAATGTGCTCTATTGGAATGCGATCTGGTGACTGTGCAGGTCTAACCAGGAGTTTTTTTTAAGGCTTTCCACATGCACATGTAAAATGCAGATTGGAGTCAACAGATTATATGAATTATATATTTCTTTGTCGCTGGAGGGCACCCAAATGTCAACTAGTCACTGAAACTTGCAAAGTACAGGGAAGGACCGTCACTGTCAAACAGATAGGGGTGGCAAAAGTGCAGACATTCTTTGCTTAAGTAGAAGTATAGACATCTGTTTTTAAAACGACTCTGGTAAACACTGAGGTACTGACTCAACATCTGTATTCAAGTTGAAAGTAATTAGTGGTCCAAAGTAAGCCCTTTAGGAGATTTCCACCAGCGTTTTTTGTTTTTTTTTGCCAAGCTAACTGACCTAACTGAAAATGGTATTAATACAAGGGAACAAACTTTCTAATGATTTTGCTCATCTTGACTACATGTGATGTAGAACAAAGTGAATTTTTAAGAATAGCTCTATGCTGTTGTTGAGATAAACCTAAGATGGAAAAAGAATCACTTAGAAATAATTTGTAATAATTTAAACTGTGAGTAGATTATGTTTACAGGCTGTGATCAGCTGACCTGTGATGCTGCTGCCTGAGGAATTCAACAAGATCTAAGCATGGAGACAAAGTCAGAGAGGCAAGGACTGGACATATGCAGAGGACGGATAGTCGATATAATGGACAAAGGTGATGAAGATGGAGTTGCAAGAGAGAGAAGAAAAGAGGAAGTAAAGTAAAAAGTAAAGTAAAAACTTCACTTCAATAGCACCTTTAAAGATATTGGTCCCAAAGTGCTGATCAGAAGCAAGAAAAAACATTACACATCAGTACACTGAAAAAGTTACTTAAAAGCAGTTGTAAAAAGAAGTTTTTAGTTGCTTTTTAAAAAGCTCAACAGAGTCTGCAGACTTCAAACTAAAGGTGAGAGAGTTCCAGAGTCCTGGTGGTACTATTGAGAAGGCTCAGTCACCTTTAGTTTTCAGGACCTTAGGGACCCCCTAGAGTTCTTTTTCTTTAATATATGCCAGTGCTTGACCATTTAGAAACCTATAAGTGAGAACCAAGAGCTTGAAATGTTTTCTGGAAGCTACTGGAGCTGGACGAGTAGTGCTGTGACATTAGAAAATCTCTTTGATTTGGCCAGAATTCTGGAAGCAGTGTTCTGTACAGTCTGCAGATGGTCCAATGATGCTTTAGGAAGGTGAATAATGAGCTACAATAATCCAATCTCGAAGAAACAGTAATGACCATCTAAAGTAAAACCAGAGTCAAAATTTGATGGAAGGTTTAGCATGAGATGCTAATCCAGCTTTTTGCACTGTCTAAGCACTTGTGTAAGACACGCAGTTGTGATACCTCATGAGGCTTAAAAAAGAAACATATAACTGAATCATTCCAGTAGCAGTGATACGAGATATCTTTAAAAGTGCTTAAAATGTTCTGTAGAGGGAGCACATAAATCGGAAATAATATGCATAATAATAATAAGTAGCCACATCAGAAAGATATGATGTAAAGGATTGTAAGGCAGTGGTCTTGGGAATATTTGTGATTGGGGTGGTCTGCTCATCTCCACTTCAGAGTCTGGACTCTGGAGTGTGTGTATGGTTCATGTCTGTGTGTGTCTGTGTTGGGCGAGAGCTGAGTGTTTGTGTATGTGTACGTAAGGATGGGAATAAATGTTTGTGTCTGTGTCAGGTCGGGTCTTAGATTCCACTCCTCTCTCCCCCTAGGTATGGGGGTTTATCTACCCCCACCATACTCCCTGCCAGTGGCTGGTGCCCCACCTGCTGGTACATTGGTGGTTCTCTGCGTCCAGGGCTGAGTGCTCGGGTGTGCACTGGCTCACTCCTGGTGACTGCTTGGCAGGGCCTGTGCAATATCTCAGTCTGCCCCCCGGCTCTGTCTGTCTTTTCTTTCCAGTCCCCCGGTCCTCTCAGTTCTGATTGTAAATACTTAAAATAAAATACAAATAAATAAATAAACAATCCTGATAAAAAACTTCTAAATATGACAATCAAGTGGTCCAGTATAGCAAAAGAGCACTTAGGAAAATAAATATTAGACAATAATTCTGTTTGCTACAGCGCTGTAAAGGACAGGCAAAGAAACCCCAAACATAAATAAATAAATAAATAAATATTTGTGATTGGCTGTCCAATGGGGAGAGGCCAAGGTTTAGCCTCAGCACTCCCTGATTTGTTCTCTTCATAGTCCTTCCTCATGGCATAGACAAAGATTTAATTTCAGTGTGAGCTCATCTGAGATTGTCAGAAAGAATCAACAGGAAGAACATTTTAATGACCTTTTACAGATTAACTGAACATGAACGTTTGCCAGTGCTCAGACACCTGGTTAAACTTAGGTCTAACCCTGAACTAAGTTTTTTGGCACAAAAAAAAGCAGGTCAGAGTAGATCCAATCAATTCTGAGTATTTTCAGTATTACTTATCATCCTGGTGCACTTTATCATAAGTCAGAGTCCATCACTGTAATCATGTTTTATAGTGGAAACCAGTGCTATTTTGATGTTAGCACGTTTCCCCGTGTCAGACTTTACACAGTGCTCTGTCGGTGTCTGAATAATGAACTGTTTCTTTGCCTGTGTTGTCTTTGGGGAGTTGGACAAACCCAAGTACTGCATCGAGCTGTTGTCTCACACAGTCTGCCTGGTGAGAGTTTGGAGGGGCACGGTGGTTGGCTACACCAATAGCCTGCAGGGCTTCAAGCTGAAGGTGAGCTCCACCCCTATGTGTGAAGAGTAAACTTTGCAGAGGACATTGCGGCAAACAAATCTCAAAAATCTTTTATATAATCAGATTTTATAACTGGGAACATCAGACACAACAGAATGCTTGTACAGTGTTTGTATTAGATGTTCTGAGTAGAAACTTTAGATGACCATTTTTGCCATTCCTGCCTGCCATCAAAGTCTACTTTAATATCCTGGAGTCCAGCCTTGCCAAGATGCTCAAGATGAGCACCATGGTTCAGGGTCTGGGTCTTCAAAATGACCCTGAATGTCCAGACCATCAGGATCACTTACACTAAGTAACGGTCATTCTGTTGATGAAGAATCAAACTGTAGTGATAAAATATTGTGGATTGACTTCTGATCTGTGAAAGTTTTAATTGCTCTTTAGTTTTTAATTTTGGTTTTAATTATATATCCAAAAGCAGCATAAGGAGTAATGTTTTCTTTTCTTTTTATTGAACAGACACTGCTGAGCTAAAGCAGCAAAGATGCAGTTCTTATGCTTCAGCAGAGCTGTCAGACCCTTCAGGTGTCCAAAAGACACAAAAAACAGACCTTCCCTGACCGTTGTTCTTTCACTCTGTTTTTAAACATGTTTCCAGTGTGTCTTGTTTTGCGACATGTCTACCTGAACCTGCTAAAAGTAGTAATAATTAACAGTGCCCAGATGTAACTATTAGCTTTCAAGGACATCCAAACAAGCGTTTATGGAACCCCTCTGTGTCAACATCCGAGTGTTACAACAGAAGGGAGAACACCATCAGGTGTATACAAATATTTATGCATAATAATAAATTTAACTTATATCAAAAACACCAAAAGGCTATGAATAGAGTAAAATTATTTAGCTTGGCAGTATTAACAATTTCACTAATGAGGACTCAGATCTCAGTGCGTTGATTCTCTCTCCTAGGTTCATCTGATCAGCAGATGAATAGAAAGCGTGTGTGTGCTTGTGTGTATGCGTGTGTTCCTGTGTTTGTATTTATGTTGGGGGGGGGGGGGGGGGGGGGCATCTCGTTTGCATTATAATTGTAAAATTCTACCTA